AGACAGCCGGTGATGTTCCTCTCACTGCTGGCCAGAATAGTAGTGTCTCCGCTGAGATTGTATTCTCAGCAAGCATTGGGATGCTACGGCTAGTGCGCGATATTATCCTTACTCTTGTTGGTGGCGCTGATGTTGTGGTTGATGTCCGGGGGCGCAACTCGTCTAACACCATCTTTGACCCTGCTGTGAAGTCTCTCGAAGTTAGTATGCTCTTGGCCGGTAGGTGATATCGACTGAATCTGTGTATCATGCATGACTCTTCACTGTCCCAACTGGAGCTTTTGGGCTTTCGTGTTCAATACCCATATCAGTGGCCAGTTTATCCTGCAGTTATCTTTATTGAATGGAGCTATGTTCCGTCGAGCGGGAGTGCTCCATCCGGACACTCTGTCTTCATCTCGTTCAGTTTCCGGGATCTCGAGTTCGACAGCTGGGGACGCGAGCAAGAAGCAAGAGGATTACATGGACACGATGAGCACAGACCAGATGAACAAGACGTGAGCCTCGGATCTCGTTCTGTCCAGCTATTTGATCATCGTCGGATCGCCCAGGTATGGCGTTGGTTTCCGTCTGTTATGTAAAAACGGGTACTCTGGCGAGGGCTCACTGGGTAAGACCAATGAGGGAGTTGCCGCGCCCATAGCGGTATATCGCCGGAAAGATAAGGAAGGTAAGGTCTCTACCAGCGTGAGGTAGCTGCGTCGGCTGTCGTTAGACGTTATTCCTTCAGGACTGCGGGATGATGAGCGCGAGCAGCGAGTGAAAGAGAAACATCATCGACGATCACGACGTCAGAAAAAGAGAAGTGGTCGTGAACTAATGAGCGATATAGCAGTGCGTGAGAAACTACTGCAAGGTTTGGTACGGCTGATTCGGGCGACCGGCCAAGACCAGATGCCTCTCTGGCTGGCTGCACACAAGGTTCAAACTAATCCCGATAGACTCAGGAGTATACTCACTCTTTATCCCAAACACTTCCAAATCACACATTTTGAGGGGGAGGATCATGTGGTGCTGAGGAATCTCTCTGCCGACACTATCGTGTGCGAATGCAGTGC